AAATAAAATTACAGTATTTGAGATTAAACAAATCTCAAGGGGAAATGGAGGTATTTGCAGTATTTGTTGTTCATCATGCTTTTTATATACAAAAGTTGAAACTTTGAATACCTAAAAAGTAGTAGAAAAATCGTCCTTTAAAGAATCTATAACTATTCAACGAATCGAATGGCAAACAAAGTTCAGCAAAAGTTATCCCTATATTTTTTAGGCAACTAAACAAGAGTTTAAGTAGTTAGATCTTACCCTATAGACAGATCCAAAATAACCTTCACTGAGCTTCTGATGATGGTGGAAATTGTTGGTAGCAGCAACTAAAATATCGAAAGGGAAATTCTTTGAAGGGCGTCGAAAAATTCTAAGACAAAAAACGAGGGGAAGGGGACGACGAAAAACAGGGAAATGAGGGTACAAACAACTTTGGGTCGGCGTGGAATACAGACAGAAACAACTCTAGGTCGAATATAACCCAAATTTTTTTCGAGTTTTCGGATAGTCCGAACATGATTTTTTATCGATCCGTATCCGATCCGATAATCGGGAAAAAATTTCGGATACCCGATCCGAACTATTCAAAAATTGAAAAACAGATCAGATATCCGAATTTTTGGATTGGATCATCGGATCGGATCGGATTTTTTTGCACACCCCTATATAGACTAGTATCGATACCACTTCATGGTATCAGTACCATTTTGAGGTTTTGTTTTCATAGTATCGGTACTGTCTTAGCAATATCGGTACTACTTAGTTAAAAACTTAAAATTGATTTTTTGCAAAAAAAAAAAGAATTCGGATCCGGATATTTGAATATTCGATCCAAAATTTTGGAGATTCGAATTTTCGAATATCCAAATTTTTATGATTAAATACAGATCATTACTTTAGGTATCCGAAATTTTCGGATATTCAAAAATTCGAATAAAATAATATCCGTTATCCGATAATACACACCATAGTCAGAGGAGGTGGTTCGTAACAACGAGGATTAATATTGGGGGGTGTCCTAGAAGGATGTCAAGGATTACCTCGGTGTTTTTGGCGGAGGCACTGCAGCAGTCCATGCCTCGGAGTTTGCGCTCAATTTTGGGTTCCAGAATGTCATTATTAAAGGCGATGGGAGATATGTGATTGAAAATTTGAAATGTTAGCCTAGTTGGAGCATGACCATTCGGTTATAAGTGCTCTGATCTAGGACACGCGAAACTGAGCTTCAGTTTTCCGTGCATGTTTTATCCACTTCACTCAGCGAGAAGGTAATCAAGTTGCTCACCTCTTGGCAGATGACAAGGGACTAGGCTCCGAGGATCAGTTCTGGGTGGAAGAGTGTCCACGCTGCATCGAGGTTCAGGCCTCGGAAAATCGAAGGTGGATTGATCCTACTGTTGTTGTTACTCGTCTACTATTCTAATAGGCTCTATAGTTTCTTGTTCACTCCTTGCCGTTTGTGTTTAACAGATCATTGGCGGTGTTGCGAAGAAGACGAAAGCTAGCCTATTGTTCTTCTGTTGTTTTTGCTTCTTTAGGGACACGTTAGTTTTGTTTCATTCATTACTTTACAGCTGTTTTGCACTTTTTTTTGGGTTTCTTGTTTTCCTTTTGTTTCACAACTTTATTGCAAGTTATGTTTTTGGTTTCAATAAATAGCTAGCACTGTTCTTGAATAATGGTTAAGTACATGCTTGGATTCCTAACGGACACAGGTGCAATTCTCTTTGGCCTCAATTTATTTTTTCTTTGTTTTCTTTCTATCAAATTTGACACGGGTTACCATTTGATTTATAAAAAATAAATATATTAAACTAAAATAAAATAAACTAAAATCTTCGAATTGAAATGTGACACATGACGCAATGACACATGACATAATTCGGTTGGAGAATTAAATTTATTTTAATTTATTAAAAGTATGCCAAAATTAAGAAAATGTGTAAATAACAGGGTCTAAATGTGTGATTATATCAAAAATATTACAACACATAATCTATTAACTGTTAAGGTCCGTTAACCCTGATGACTACATCTTAATTAAATAAAAACGAAAATGATCATATTTTAGTTAAATAAAAATGAAAACAATCATATCTTAATTAAATAAAAACAAAAGTGATCAAAAGCATAGAAACGGATAGATGTAAATTTGTTTAAGAGTCGGTGTTTATTTTTAAAATTTTGTTACAAATTTTCAGAGGTTTTGAATTAATTAGACTAAAAATATGTTCAATAAAAAGTATGACCCTAAATTATTAAAACAAACTATTGATACAGTTAATTGTTAAAAGAAATATTAAAAATCGTATTCCAATCTTTTACGTTATATATATATATATATATATATATTTACAGTTTGATCAGTAAATCATTAACTTTCATAATTTTGATGACATAATATGTTAGTAAAAAAGTCAACTTTTAATTTGATGTTTTAAATTTAAACAAAAACATGTACAAGTATGCATATGAAAATTAAGAATTGTGGTCGGTGGGGAAGAACAATTGGATACATGAATCCAGGTGGGTGCAGCTGGAGCGTATTTAATTTATAATGTATTGTTTTTAATATTTGATTCCAGCACCCAACATCCCATGCAGTATCTGCGTGCCCATGATTTAGTATGAAATAACACAAATGCACAACGGAAAGCAGTGTCAAACCGTGTTGCCAGCTTCAACCCAGATTTACCTTCTTTTCTTTTTATTAAGCTAAATTGATTATAAAGTAATATATATTCTAAATACTCTCAATCATTTGACAATGAATGCTCAATCGTCTTGCTGAACTGCTGGTGCTCGAACCCGTGACCTATAGAAATAATAACGATGCTTTTAACCCGGATTTACACACAATGGGTTTTATGGTATATTTGAAAGCAAAGATTAGAGTGAAGCCTTTATTTCTGACCAACCTAATTCCTTTTGATATGACTTTCTTGTGTTGTAAATATTATATACATCACCACATTAAATTCAAAGCAACCTCAAAATTATAGAATATCCCAATTTACTTGCCATTAAACTTGGCCATTTCTATATTTACCTGCTATATTTTCAGTATTTCTATTATGTAAGTCATGATATTAGTCCTTACCTACCACATACGGTCAGACACACACCATTCACGCTATATTACTTCCTATAATGTCGGGTTTTTTTAAAACCAGTCCAACATTTTTGTTGGTCATATATTGCGCTCATGTGTTGTTACGCATGGTTTCTTCGTTTACATTTTTTTTGTTAAGTAATTGAACAAAATAATAATGAAAATTGTAAAATAAAAATAAATAAAAAGAGGGAAAACACACTTGAAAATTAAATGAGAAATCGCCTTGAAAGTAAGAAAAGAGAGGCAAAAACAAATTCACACAGCTAAGAAAAAGGCCAAGTTGCATGCAAAATGTAAAAGATCCTTTGAAATTGGGATGAGGTTTGGTAGAATCGGTGGGTTTGACCAACACAATCTCTCTACTTATGTTATTATTTTGAACTTCGTTTGACATCAAAGCATTTCTGGGGAAATATGTAGGATTTAGGTGGAAATTTCTGTAGCATGACTTCAACAAATTTATATAGTTGTTTGAGTAGATTGCGTTAGGAAATCCATCATCAAATTAGGGATGCTGTTAAGAGATTTATTATTTTCCTTTAGAATAGGGATGGCTTTTTTTTTTTTGAAAGATAGAATGGGGATGGCTGTTTTATCCTGATTTGATGGGTTTAAATAGATTTGATGGGTTTGAATAGATTCGATGAGTTTCAATTCGATGGGTCATTTTTTTTATATTAAAAATCTAAGTTTGGTTTAGATGAAAAAATTGATTCCGAGTCTAGGGATGGGCATAGGTTGGGTCGGGTAAGATTTTCGGTTCACCTGACTTGACCAAAAAATTATAAATCTTCTATTCGAATCTGACCCAAAAATATACACCTTCTATCTGACCCTATTTTTTGAGATAAAATCCGAACCTGACTTGATCCAAATCGAAATGATATAGTTATTAAAAAAATATTATTTTTATTCAATAAAATAAAGATTTAATTGAAAGAAAATAATATATATATATAGTATTATTGTAATTATCCTTAAATACAAAAGATAAAATTATAATTTTTTCGGGTCGAATATTTTTTTACCTTAAATCCGAACCTTACCTGACCTAAACATAAACTTAAAAAATTGACCCGACCCGAACCTTAATTTAAAAAAAAAACATACATGATGCGATCAAATCAGGTTAAAACTCTTTGATTTCAGGTTTCATGCCTATCTCTATCCGAGCCAACTCAATATAACATTATAATTTTCTCTTATGTATTTATAAATAATTGTAAAAATTATTATTATTTTTAATTATGTCATTATTTCACTTAATAAAAATAAATTACATGTATAAATCACATTGGATCGGGTTGGGTGGGAACTTCTAAGTATGAATAATTAAATTTATTTTTTGGATGAAATTCGAGTGATCTAAAATTTCGACATCATCGATGATCATACTATTTTCAAAGTGAGAAAGTAAAAGCTCTTGTTTAATGTATCTAGATAGAATATTGACCAAGAGAGAATGTAATTATGTTAATGGTAAAAATCAAAATTAACATTTTAAAAAAATATTAAATTAAAATGTATTCAATTTTTTTTTTCCAAAGAGATAGTAAAACCTCTTATTTAATGTATCTAGATGGAATGTTGACCGAGAGAGTATGGAAATGGTAAAAATCAAAATTAAAATTTTAGAAATATTAAATTTCATTGTCTGACCAAAGCCATCTGTTTAATGAATCTAGATGGAATTCTGACCAAGTGAGACTGGTAACATTTTAAAAATAATAAATTAAAATGCATCTAGATGGAAAGTTGACCAAAAGGAAATGGAAAACCAAAACATTGGTGGTTTATGGGGTTGGTATGATAATTACAACTAAAATAGGTCAAGTCCATAACCAACCCAACTTATAAATGCAAAACCCTATTGGCTTATTGTTTCGTAAAACAATCTTTTACTACCAGCACCACCAACCAGGCTTCTGTGTCTTTCTCCCGGAAGATTTAGCCAAAGACACGTAACTCTGCATAGAGAGACAAAAAAAAAACATGGGTTTTGAAAAGGGAACGTCTTTGTTGGAAGATTTGATAGAAAAAGCTGGAGGATGTGCTGTAATGGATGGGGGTTTCGCTACTCAACTTGAGAGCCATGGTGCTTCCATTAATGACCCTCTTTGGAGCGCTTTTTGCTTGATCAAAGACCCTCACCTTATCAAGCGGGTACATTTAATGTCCCTTTTTTTTCCCTTCTCATTTTTATTTCTCTATGAGCTTTGAGGGGAATATGTGCTTTGGTGTTTTATGATATCTGAAACCTGGTTTTAGATTTTCAATCAATGTAGACTCTCGAAATGTGCAGGTTCATCTGGAGTATCTGGAGGCTGGTGCAGATATCTTGGTTACTTCATCTTATCAGGTTTGTTGATTACTAGTTCTTTTTCTCAGATTGAGCCAAATGATTTGATTTGTTTAGGCTAATGTTTGATCTGCCTTGCATCTATTTCTAGTATTGATCTGGTATTCTGATGAAAAGATTAGCCTCTGATTTTAGTAGTTAATGAACAGAATGTTCTTATTTTGTTATATCTGCATATCTTATAGTTGTCTTTACTTTATATTTCCAGGCCACTATTCCTGGATTTCTTTCCAGGGGATTGTCCCTTGAAGAGGCAGAGACATTGCTAAAGAAGAGTGTCAAATTGGCCGAGGAAGCTCGTGATAAGTTCTGGGACGATACACGAAATGTTCCTGGGAATCGCTACAACCGAGCTTTGGTAGCAGCATCGATCGGAAGTTATGGAGCATATCTGGCCGACGGTTCTGAATACAGGTTGAGGAAATTTGTGTAACATAAAAAAGATTAGATGTCAGACATGTTTCATTTGCTTAACATGATTATATTATCTGCATCTGCTCTGTCTTTTCCTTCAGTGGTTGTTATGGACCTGATGTAAGTCTGGATAAGCTGAAAGATTTTCACCGGCGCAGACTGCGAGTTCTCGTCGAAGCAGGTCCGGATTTGCTTGCCTTTGAGACCATTCCGAATAAACTCGAAGCTCAGGTTTGTTCTTCCTCGTATTTCATTCGATATGTATGGTATATACCAAACAGAGAATGTATCCACATTTTAGCTTTAATCATCATGGATCAAATCTATTTTAAGACAGTACGGAGATACATTCAAATTGCAGGCCAGCGTGACAGCTTCTTTTTATGTCCAATTGCAGGCCTGTGTTGAGTTGCTGGAGGAAGAAAACATTCAAATCCCATCGTGGATCTGCTTCAGTTCGGTCGACGGCGAGAATGCCCCGTCCGGAGAGAGTTTCAAGGAGTGCTTCGATGCATTAAACAAGAGCACGAAAGTAAACGCAATTGGAATAAATTGTGCACCTCCCCATTTCATTGAAAGCCTTCTCTGCAAATTTAAGGAGGTAAATTCCTTCAAGCAAAAGAATATATATATGTATTGTAATAAACCATTGATTCTGATCGGAACTGTGCGATATTCCAGTTGACGACCAAGGCCATCGTTGTTTATCCGAATAGCGGTGACATATGGGACGGTAGAGCTAAGAAATGGAAGGTGAGTTATGACTGTATGACCTGGTTTAACAATCACTCTGCTATTAGTTTAAGAGGAAAAAAAATGTTGCATCCACCTCTAATGGACGTTTTTCTTTGATTAAACAGCCATCAAAGTGCTTCAGTGATGACACATTCGAGTTAGTTGCACCGAGATGGCGTGACCTTGGAGCTAAAGTTATAGGGGGGTGCTGTCGGACAACACCATCCACGATTCGAGCCATATCAAAGGCTCTGAAAGAAACGCCTTAGCGAGTTAAGAAGGGTCATTGAAAGTTGAAAGCATAGTTCACGATAAATTAAACATTGTTGCCTGCAAAATCAAGTTTTTTGTTCATTTTCTTTATAATTTATTGTTTCTAACCAGATGATCTATGCGTCTTCGTTCGTTTGTATCACAAGCATTTGAAGTAATGTTACAAAGTCTTCAGATAAAGTAAAAAAAAAAAAAGAGCCAATTTTGATAAATCTTCGAGAAGTATCCTTAGCCTTTCTGTTTGACAAGATGAGGAAATCAGTGCCTTGTTGAGAAAAAAACTTGTGCAAGGAGTTGACATGGTGCTTCTTGGTTCTACAATCTGCATGATATTTTGGTTTTGTAAACAAATTTAGTGCTAATAACGTTCTTTACTTTAACGCAAATACATCGAGCACAAGTTTGTTGAATTGCCAACAGCTCCTCTTCCGTTGCTTTACACCATTCTTTTCCTTATGCAGCTTCGATTGTTATTCAAATAACGCGGAAGGACAAAGATTGTGACAAATTATCTGATTAATAAAATTGCCAACAACTTCGATTGATATTATTTAAATAAAAAAATTAAAACAACAAGCGACAATCACACGCTAACAAAAAAATAGAAGGCTTAATACCAAATTAAATGTCTAAATTATACCCTTTTTCTCGAATATGTCTAAATTATTTTTTTGACTCATCATATTACTCAACATTTTCTCCATTACCATTTTAGATGTCTAACGTTTTCTTCGTTACCATTTTAGGTGCCCAGGTGTTAACCGCTGTTAAAAAATTCTGTTAAGTGACACGTGTCACGTTTTGATAATTTTGAGAGTTTTTATTTAAAATAAAAAACAAAAGATATAATTTTTTTTTCAAATATTAAAAAACCCAAAACTATTAAAACTTTAATTTTAATCCCTTTACCATTGTCGGCCACCATCAACACCGTCAATTGCCCGAACATCGAACGACATGTGACCGGCCAACCACCCATAAACAAAAACCCCATACTTTCGCAACCGATCTAACACCAAGTTCCCTTAAATTTATAAATTCTTAAACATAAATCCTTAAACCTAATACTCAAATCTCTAACCATAATCCCAAATTTATTATTAAATTCGACCCAAAAATAATTAATTGAAGCATAGGGATGATGGGGAGAGCACACGCAAAGGGAATGATGGAGAGAGGATTAGAGGACATAAATGACCTAACATACCTAGAAATACTCATAAGAATGGGTTACAACATATGTAACCATATTAAGTGTATTACGTGAAAATATCTTCAATCGAGGACATATACGAAATGTTAAGGATGAGCATCGTTACAAAGTATGTACCGACAAGCGGTACGACGAATAAGTCAAATTCAGTACGATTGAAAAGCGTAAGCTTCGAGAACACCAGTGAATCCAAGAAAAATAAGTCATTTCTTTCAGTCAGGGAGTACGATAAGAACGACTAGAATGTCATTACTTCATAATGAACTTGAGCCAGGTATTGGGCTAGCCAGTTCCACAATTAATAAATAAGCCTCTGCATAAAGTTCTAAATAAGGGGACGAGCGAGACAACAATTAGTGTGACGTTGACTTCTCTTTGGCGAGTCTAGCTATGTTAAGGTATACCCAGGTTACATTAGTGGCCCTGGTGGGCATTACTAGTGCACGAGGCACTCCAGGGGATAATTAGGGCGCGAGGTCGAACACTCACGAAGAGTGGGTTAGCAATTTTGGTGTTGTGTGGCCTCTGGGTCTTAGATATGCATGTGTAGTTATGTTAGTTCAATACAATCAGGTAAGCTTCCGATGAACGTAAATTTTGGTTCTTACCATGAGGTGTTTGAGTATTCAAGGTAGGCTAGTGTGTTGTCTTGAGATGCAAGTAATATTCCTCTGACCATACCACTAGACCCACCTCATGTTTGTGTCAGTCATGCATGTATAGTCACACTAGTTCAGTATGTCAAATATGTTAAAGCTTGGCCTGAAGGCTATGTGAGGACGAGCCAATTCTTCAGTTGAGCGAGAATTATATCGATGCTATGTGACATCAGGTTCCCCTCCCGTGTTCTACCTATTGGCTATGTAAGGACCAGGAGATCATATCATATGTTTTGTGGGAATTACGTCGATGCTATGTGACTGAAGATACTAATTTTTTACTCATATTATAAATATTATTATTATTATTATTATTATAATTATTATTATTACTATAATTATTATTATTATTATTATTATTATTATTAAATATATTAAATACATATATAAGTAATATTAAATTACAAGCCCAGTTAACCGGCCCAAAACCCAAACCGAAACCCTAAACATTTAGGGTTTCAGTTAGGGTTTCCTAACCCTAATCCAGCCGCCTCTGCCTCTGCCTCCACCGCTGCCACGTCCCAACCGAAGGCTCCAGAAGCTCCAACACCAGCCGTCCACGCCATGGCTAGGGGGTGAGTCACCACTGGTAGTCCGGTGACTCACCGAAACCCATTCTTCGGACCGGTCCGATGACCACTCCGGTGATGGCTATAAAGCCATCACCCCATCTGCAATAAAAAAAACACAGAGAGACAGAGACAAAAAAAAGACAGAAAATACACGGAAAGAAAAGTAAAACAGAGAAATCAAATACTACCAACGATCTCAACAACAAACACAGCAAAGAAACAGAAAAGAAAGAAAAAGGAAGAAGAGAAACTTACCGAGGAAGCCGACCACCGGATCTCACCAAAACCTTCGAAAAACCGAAGGTATATTTTTAGATTTGCTCCGATCGGGAGCTATTTAAAGGAAAAGATCATCGGAACCGTCATTAGGACGGTCCGATCTACGTTTCAAAGTAAAAAAAATTATTCCGGCCACCGAAGACGGTGGCCGGCGGCGGTGGCCGGCGGCGGTGGTTGGCGACGGACGAACACCGGCAGACGGAGGCCGGCCGTCTGGCTTCTCTCTATTTTAGAGAGAAGCGAGAGAAATTTTTTTCTCTCAAAGAAGAGAGAGAGAGGAGAAGGAGAAATGAAGGCTGGCCCGAAGGGCCAGCCGTTTTGGACCTTATATAGTCCTTCCCGAACGACGTCGTTTCGGGAAGGACTATGCGTGTAAATAGATAATAGTTAAACCCCGTCTGCAGTCCTCCGAATTTATATGTTTTACATTTTAGTCACTAAATCAAATATATGATCCTTTTAATTTGGTCTCTAAATTTTAATTTTATTTATTTTAGTCCTTTGTATTAAAATAATATATTTAGGATAAATAACAGATTCAATCCCTTAATTTTAATAAATAATATTTTAATCCCTAGTTTATATTTTTAATTTATTTTATTATAATATCCGAATTTTAGATAATTTTATTTTAGTCACTAAATAAATAAAATAAAGAAATAGCATGTTTAATCCCTAATATTTTGATTAATTATGAATTAGGTTTTTAATTTTATTTTTACTATAATTTAGTCATTTATTTTAAATGTTTTCATTTATTTTAAATATATCGTTCTAGTTGTATTTTTATTGTTTTAATTTTACTTGTTTATTTATTTTTATAGTAATAAATATATATAATAAATAAATATTTATTTCAAATAAATTATTTTAATATTTATTTTTCAATATTGAAGAAAAGGACAGTCTTAATACAACTGGATGTCCTATTCTGGTATTTTAAAATTAAATATTATAAAAAATTATTATTTAATTTTATGTAAATTAATCAATATCAAAGAAAAGAGCTGTCTTAAGGCACCTAGAAGTCCTTTTCTGATATTTTTTAAATAAATATTTTTATAATTTTGAAATAATAGGATTATAAATTAAATATATTTTAAATTTTTAATATTTTTAATAATAGAGATAATTTATAATTAAAAAGTACCAATTTTGGGCGTTGTAGGGGTGCTAATCCTTCCCTAAACGTAACCGACCACGAATCCCTTTTTATTATTAAAAAGAACGAATTTTTGGTTATAAACGCAGATCAGTTCATTCTTTTAATTGATGTTTTCTTAAAAACTCTTTTAAAAGATATTTTTTAGGTATTCGACCTACCTGACCCAAAAGGCCGATGGCGACTCCCAAATTATTTTCAAAACCATTTATTCACATCAATTTTCCCGCCAAGTAAATAATATTTCGTGCCCGGACAAAAACCGGTTACGACAGCTTGGCGACTCCGCTGGGGACCTGGTCAAACTTTTAAAAATCAATTATAAATTGTCTCTATTAATTAAAAATTAAAAGTTCATATATTTAATTTTTAATTCTTTCTTTTCAAAATTTTTATATTATTATTTATATGTTTTATTTTATTTGCAAGTATTTTATTTCATTATTTATTTTTCTGTCAAAGGTTTGAGCATTTCTCCTCACACACAACACTTGCATTGCATCACATAAAGCTTTATAATTGAGTTGTCCCTTTTAAGTGGGAGTGAAAGCGACGTCTTCGTGAGAATTTATTCTCCGTGTCAGACCTAGCAAGTAACTTTCGGGGTTCATATGCTCTATATCTTCGTGAGAATTTATTCTCCGTGTCAGGCATAGAGAAATGTATCCCCTCAAATTGAACTCGATCCACTTTAGTCTGTGATGGACTAGGGTTGAGGGTTAGCAACCCAAGGGGGCACTAACAAGGACAATTTGGGTACCTTTATTCTTAGATCTGAAACCTTGCATATAAAAAAACCCTAGAAACTCTTCCGATCCGAAGTCATGCTAAAATTTTGTCCAAAATAGGTGTACACACAGGAGAAATGAATTCTAACTTTCTTATTTATTTATTTTCTTTACTGATTAAATTACATGTATATTTAAATTTAGAAAAAGCATGTTTAAATAAAATATTTAGGTAAATGTTATTATTAAATTTTTTTGTAAACTAATTCATTTCTTTTTGTGTGTTTTTTTTTATTTTTTCTGTTTGCATAGCATCATACAGGATAAAAGGAATTGATCCTTGTGTTAATTGTCTCATTGGAAAGCCTTCATCTATGGATAAAAAAGGTTCAAATCAA